AATTCTGTATTAGGTCAAGAGTTTTCAGATTTGATCCAAACTACATAAATCAAGTGGTATAAGGAAAAGGTTTTAGTCCAGTTTCATTCGGTTGATGAACGTGTCAATGAGTGGCAGTTAATGAATCCAAAGTAGCATACCCAGCCAACGCACGTTGAATGCAAATGAAGCTTACATTGATACTCAAGATTCATGCACGTTCCACATGAACACCGAAAAAAATAGCTTATCCTCTAGAATTGGATGGCTAAAATTATGCCGCCCTGTTATGCTAATAGAATCCTTTCCTTGAACTTACTGAAAGGGTGTTCATCACTCGGGTATGATAGGCTAGGAACTACGTTTTACGCCTTGTCCCAAAACCGAACTATGATTTTAGGAATGTGTGGGTACTTTCGTGATGAAGCACCCATCTGAAACCCGGCATATCATCAAAAATGCCCGTCTAAATCGATTAAATAGAAATTTGAACCGACACTCCACACTGATTAGTGTGCTACTCGAAGGAGATCTTCCTGAAGATTTCATCAACTGTCTTAAAACTCGCTCAAGCTAATGACCTATCTACTATGTTTTATAGGGCCTCTGTGTCAAGAGAAAAAGATTACTTAGCCTAAAATTCACGGATTGTTCACCAAACCTTTCAAAACAATGACTTCTTTTCGGTCCCATTGTGCACATGTGACAACCGACGTGACTATTTTACAACAAACATTTTTTTCAAAAATACCAAAAGGTTTTAGTGGGTATGAGAATAACCAATCACAGACTTTCAAAGACAGTTTTGGAAAAAGGCAGTTGTGTTCTGCTCGGTCTGTCCGACGTGACTATTTTACAACAAACATTTTTTTCAAAAATACCAAAAGGTTTTAGTGGGTATGAGAATAACCAATCACAGACTTTCAAAGACAGTTTTGGAAAAAGGCAGTTGTGTTCTGCGCGGGTCTGTCCGAACCCACTTGCCGAACGACCTTTTGGCTTTTTGAGAGGCGAAAGATTCAGACTGAACAAATTTTCAACCATGTCACTTGGTTTCATCCAAAATTTTCCCGTCTCCCCATCCTTTAGACCCTGCTTGCGGATCTCACACCACTTAATCTCAGTTTTTCGGCGAGCATCACTGGTGTTTCTCTTGAACCGATTTTGTGAACAAACGAAAGTTGGAAAAAAAGCATGCCCCTCCCAATTCCGCTCGAACAACTGGGCAAGTAGTTCTCCGTGTTTACTGCTAGAAATATCTGAAATTTTGGTCTGCTAAAACCAAGTCCAAAAGTAATTGCACTCCGGCGACCAAACAGTGCACACATGCGCTTGTGGTTACCCTCCTCAGCATAATGAGTACTCTTTCTGAG